TTTTTTTTTAATTGATTTTATCGAAAGTCTTCCAAATGAAACTTGGTCGAATAATATTTTGTTTAAGGTGGGGAGTGTAGAAGAGGCAAGGAAAGCTGTTGATGTGGGTGTAGATGCAATAATGTTACAAGGACTCGAAGCTGGAGGGCATGTCATTGGTCAGGTACCATTGCTATTGTGATTTTATCAATATTTTGTCATGGCTTGTTTTATTTTCTGATTGGTCGAATAATACTTTCTGATATAATTTATTGCGAGTTGCGCTATTTCTTTTATGCCGTTTCCTTTTTTTTTTTGGTAGTTTCTTTTGGGGTTTGTGTTGTTGCTCTAGAGGAACTTGAGGCTCTCTGCATGATACCATGTTGTCAGAGGACTTTAAACGGTGTTATGGATTTCAATCATGTGGCTAGTATGTACTTATTTCATGTGAAATCTGAGATTAATATGATATATAGGCGTGTTTTTCTTTAATTAATATCATTATTGCATTGTCAATGACTTGAGTTTTTTAGCCACATCGCTTTGCTCATGAAGATCCTGGGTTTCACATATTTCCGTATGAAGTAATGCCGAATCTTAATTGATATAATTATTACTTTTGGTATTATGAGTTCCATTCCTATATTTTAGTTGCTTTTCTTTTTCCTTTTTGTAAAGATGTTGTAGAATTATATTCTCATGGACCATAGTTATGTATATTTATGTTCGAAAAAAATCAGGATGGATTAATCACATTATTGCCGAGAGTGGTGGATCTCGTTCAAGGTCATGATATTCCTGTAATAGCCGCTGGGGGTATAGTGGACGAGCGCGGTTATGTCGCTGCTCTCGCCCTTGGGGCCCACGCAGTTGCTATGGGCACAAGGTTTGACTTGCCTTTTGATTTAAATTTGGGATAATTACAAAAAATTCACCCTTAATTAAACTTGATTAGCGAGGAAATCAAGTAATCATTCGAAATTACAAATTCATCTTGGAAAAGTAATCTACATGGCTTTTATTTGGGAATAATCTGAAAAGTAAAATATTATGTGCCTTTTCCTGTTACTTCACTACATGTTTAACAATTATAACATTATGTAACAGGTTCCTAGCAACAGAGGAAAGCTATGCTCACCCAATATACAAGGCGAAGTTGGTTGAACTACAAAAAACCGAGTACACGGACGTGTTTGGGCGCGCAAGATGGCCCGGCGCACCTCACCGCGTCCTAACAACTCCCTTCTTCATGGACTGGAGGACCCTTCCAAGTGACGTGAATGAGAGCAATCAGCCAATCATTGGCCGGTCGGTCATACACGGAGTGGTAAATAATATATGCTGCAATATTTTTTTTTTTGCTCACAGGAAAAAGAAATTCGGCGTTTTGCGGGCACGGTTCCAAATGCATCGACAACAGGTGATATAGAGAGCATGGTAATGTATGCAGGACAATGTGTGGGCCTCATTAAGGAAATTTTGCCTGCGGGCGAAGTTATAAAGAGAGTTGTGGAAGGGGCTCAAGCGCTAATTCTGGAAGAGTTTGCAGCATATAAAATTTCTGGAGAGAACATTTAGGTGCAATAAATTGTGCTGCAAAATGTAGCAACTAATTTCAAGTAAATCATACAGCTTCTCTTATGGCACACACTTGTTCCACATTTGGGTTTCCTTATTGAATTATGGTATAGGCTACTTTGCAGAAGTTAGAAATAGTCCCTGTTTAAGCCGTTTCCTTAATAATATGCCATCTTCTTGGCTGAGTTTGTTTGTCAAAGATTCTTGTAAAAATCTCTACTAAAAACTTCTATTTTATTTTATTGCGTAACGCGTAACTAGTGTTAGGTGTGAGTTGGGGATGAGGAGAAGCGGAATCTACCCTTTGTCCCTTTGCCCCTGGTGCATGGGCCGAGGGGACTGCCGGCGTAACGAGCCGGGCCGTGGTGTGGGCTGGCTCGGGGCGGTGATGTTGTGGTGGGGGTCTTGTTCTGTTTTTCCTTTAGGGGTGGGGTCGGTCACCTGGGCGTGGGTTCTAGTTCGTGGGTATTGTTTCCGGTTCTAATAGTAGGGGCTACATTCGGTCTGTATATGTGGTCGGCTTGTGTGCCGTGGTCGTGGTTGCTTGGTGCTTTGTCTGTCTGTGGGACGTGTTTTTACGTGTTTCTCTGTTTTTTGGTTTTATTATCCCGTTGGGATATGTGTGTTTTAGTTTTATTATTCCATAGGGATCTGTGTATTCTACTGTTGGGAGTTTATGTTATTATAAGCGTGTTGTGGTAGTCTAGGCTCCCGTAGCCGTAGGGGATGTCCTCCGACTAGATTCGGCTTTTGGCCGATATCTAGATGTAATTATGTGTTATTTTCCTTTTACGAAAGTCTTTCGTTTCGAAAAAAAATAAGGCGTAACAAAGATTGGCTAGAGCTGAGTTCTGCAGAAATTCTATGCTGCCACATGTGGCATCATATTATGGTGCCACAACATGATGTGACATATTATGATTGATGCCACAACTATCACACATCATGTTGTGGCACCATAATACGTGCCACATGTGGAACCATAAAATTTCTGTTCGTTCTGTCCCCTTTTTTTTTTTTTTCTGTCCCTTTTTTTCTTTCTTTTACAACTAAAATCATGGAGTTTCAAAATGCTATTTAAAATAGTAGTTGTAGTTATTTGAGGAGGTTGTTAAATAATTGGCAAATGGATACAATAGATAATTTGTTGTATTATATTTTATTTTAAATGTATACTAGTACTATTAATCATGTACAATATGGGTGTTGAGTTAATAAATATATGTGTAAAGTTATTCATGTTTAGTACCAAATTTAACTTCAGAGCAGAAATAATATAAAAATATCACGAAGCATAGATTTTCATCATGTCAACATCTGAAACGTGAGAATCTGTTACCTAAGCTCAACACGTTTTGAATTAATATATAGGGAGGAATTTTAAAATTATGTAACTTGTGTTAAAACCAAGAATTTGAAAATCCAGGCAGGTCAATAAACCATTGAATCTCCATGTTTACTGGTTCTCCAATTTGACATTCACGTAAAACTCGTTCATCTTATATTATAGAAGTTTTTTTATATTATAATAATTTTTTGAAATATTATTGTATAATGATTGGATAGAAAATTTTATTTAATGAATAAGTAACTTTTTCCTTATTTTAGATAAAATTGAATGATAATTTATTTAATTATTATTCTTGGGTGAGTTCTGACCAGATTGACTGAGTGAATCCCGACCACCTTGACTAGACCGATTGGATTTTATCTCCTTCTCTTCGTATTCGGACCTCCAACATGGATTCTTCAGCCATTATGTTTTGTTGTGAACATGTGAATAACTCCTAGTGAAATTTCTAGATCTGTCACTGTACATATATATATATATATATATATATAACATGGTTAATAAATTATTCTCAATTTTCCTTTAAAAAACCTCGTTGTAGACTTGTAGTTCATTCGTTTAACCATAATTTCAGATCTTACTCAAAAAACAACAAACTACAAATTCCAAAATTCCTTTTGACATTTGAGAAACAAATGAAAAGCTTGACTATGCTCTAAAAATAGAAGCATGCAGAACTCAAGAAATGAGTCATGGGTTTGATATAGTTGACTAGGCTTTAGTAGAATTTATCTTATAACATTGGGATATCCTTAAATAAATTTTATCTTATAACAAAAGGACATCATTTAAGGCATCCACTTGCTGCATTTATATGGTTCACATGACTACGGATCAGATCAACTCCAGATGGTGGTAATTAAATCATAAATTGTAATTTTTTTTTTAGTCCATCTCAATCATAATATCGGTAGAAGCGTTAAATAAATAAACTGCAAACACTTTACTAAAATATATTTCACTACAAAAAAAACTCTTACGTTCCAACGGAAATTTTCTGTTGGAATTCTTGATATTTTCCGTTGGAATAGCTATTCCAACGGATATTCCTACGTATAAAACTTTGTGGGAAAAACGACCGTTGGAATAGCTAAAATCCAACGGAAAATCTTATGGAAATAAATTCCAACAACAATTCCAACGGAAAAAATTCGTTGGAATTCCTCAACCATCCAACACTTATTCCAACATAAAATTAAGTTTGTTCGGATATTCATTGGAATTTTCAATGAAAATTTTTGCCGTTGGAATTGAAGTGTTTTCTTGTAGTATTTCTTATTCAAAGATTGTAAGAAACTGAAAGATGAGCTTTTACGGAGTACCTAAACAATCTATCAATTATACTTTATAAAACTTTCACTATATTTGGTATACACTCTTTCAATCAAATTCTCAAAGAACTGTCTAATTAGTCATCATGCGCCTGACTTCCATTTCTTCCACTTGCCTCTCGAAAACCCTCTTCCAAAGGCTTATCATAAAAGGATCTACCAGATTGTTCTCTCATGCAATCTAGGTAAAACGACCTCCCTCCTCCAACAATGTCTCTTATCAGGTGGTACTTGCGCTCTATGTGTTTACTCACCCTACGAGTCTGTGGTTTCTTCGACTTTGCTACTGTTCCTCTATTATCATAGAAGATCATGATTGCAGTTGGCAAACTCGGCATCACGCGATAGGTCTAGCAAGATGTTCATGAACCAACCCGTTTCCTTGGTTGCCTCTAAGGTTGTGACGTACTTGACTTTCATGGTGGATTCTGTCACGCATTTCCGGTTGACACTCCGCCAAACTGTGGCTCCACCGTCCAAAGTAAACCCTGAGGTGGATTTGCTTTCACCCCAATCTGGTTAGAAATCAAAATCAGTATATCCTTACGGGAGCAACTCGTCTGCTCGGTAAAATAACATATAATTCTTAGTCTTCCATAGATACTTGAGTATCTATGACTCATTGTAGCCTAATGCTCTGGTCCTAGATTACTTTAATATCTGACCACCATGCCTACGACATAATATATGTCCGTGTGCACAATTAACATCGCATACATAAGGCTTCTTATTGTCGATGCATAAGAAACTGTCTTCATGTCCTCTATCACTTTGGGGGTCTCGGGTGACATCTCATTAGACAGAGGAATTCCATTTCGAAATGGTAATATCATCTTCTTGGAATCCTGCATGCTGAACGAGCCAAGACAATATCTATGTACGAAGAATTGAATAAGGATAACTTTCTCTTCTCGCGGTCCTGAATGACCTTGATCCCAAGAATGTGTCTCGCTTTTCCCAAATCCTTTATATCAAATTGCTCATACATCCATATCTTTTCGTCTGACAACACCTTTAGACTGTTTCTAATAAGAAGGATGTCATCTACGTATGACACAAGAAACACCACCATGTTTTCGTTAGTTGACATTGTATAAATTTAGAAGATTGGATAACCTCGTCAAAACGGATGTTCGAAGACCGTGGAGCTGTTGGAATCTATGAGGATCTCGTTATGTACAAATCACAAATTCAATAGCAATATGTAAACCTACACACAACGGTTCTAAAGGTTTGCGTAGAGAACTTACGGCTTAAAAATTTTGGTGATCTGGCTGATCTTCCGGATGGCCGTACAATCACACGAACTGGATTGGATCACGAATGGAACGTCGGGCTCACAATCGGATCGCGTAAACAAAGTTGTCGGGCTCGCCGGTATGTCCGCAGGTCGCGTCTCGGGCGTCACGGGTGGCGGGCTGGTCGCGGCGGAGCTGGCCTAGTTGTGGCGGTCCTCCGATCGGCGTCGCGGCTGGTCCGACTCACTTGGCTGGTCCGGTTCGCAGGCTCGGGTTGACGGAGCTCGACCTTTAGTCGTGGTCCATCAATTGCTATAGAAGATAATTGTGTCTCGAACACCTATTGATCTTCTAATGTATATCTCTTACACCTTCTCCAACTTGTACCGGTAGAACTACAAGAAGGAGATAAAACTCGAATGGGAACTGAGAGAGAGCGAGAGAGTATGGGGCAGCCGATTTGCGTGAATTATGATGTTCTTTTTTTTCCATGAGCTAAATAATGTATATATAGAGCTACAGTAGGGACCCTTAGGAGATTAGGAGAAGAGCTCCTTAATTCATTAAAATACTTGTGGGTCAGTTCACTTATTCTAATTAATTAAATAATATTAAATGGGTCACCAATATAATATTATTGCACTTCATTTTCCTAGTCCAATTTACAATTGAGACTTCAATAATAATTACTCGATTTATCTCCCCATGTTTAAGATATAATGACCATGAATTAATTTGATCACTGACAATCAAGAATTAATTAATTTATTATTATTCCATCGAATCTAGCGCTTGTTCATCACATTTATATTATGCCGAAATTTAATCCACTTGCAGGGTTTAGCATAACATTCCTTCATGAACTCACTCTGGTGACATCATCAAACTAACACACATGGTGACCATAAATATCCTAACAGCACATCCTACATGTAGCAATATTACCCAAGACAGGGAGTCTATTGGCCCAGTTCACTAAATATCGCCCATGTGAATCAAAGTAATAACTACTGCATATATATGCTTGTTTAATATCTTACGAGTTAAGAGTACGCAGTAATTAACCGAGGCCTAGTTCATTTACGACGATCAACACAAAACGAACTGCTCCTCTCTGGGATCTTGTTCATACATAAATGTACAAGTACAACTAATCAGCCAAGACAAACTGCACAGTTGACTCTACAACCGTTCGTGATGGGGTGTTCATGTCCATCTAGGTTGTGAACTATTATTCTTGTTTCGCGAGTAACTGATAGAGTGATCTTTGGTTCACCCGATGACGACCCACCCTATCTAATGCAGAACAACAGAACGTAGAACTTGTTTAATATAACATGTTTCGCATTCATAAAGGGTAAAAGTGTAATATCATCCAAAGTCAAGCTTTCAGTATATAACACTTACATGAGTTTGCTTCAGTCCATAAATAGACTGATTAAGCTTACATACCATATGCTCTTAGCCTTTATGACAAAACCCTCTAGTTGTTGCATATAGGTGTCCCCATCCAAGTTCCCGTGAATGACAATTTTCTTGACATCCATTTGTTATACCTCATAATGCATATGAGCGACTACAACCATGAGAATTCTGATGGACTTGAGAATAGCTACCGGCGAAAAGGTTTCTTCATAATCGATTCCCACTTTTTGAGTATACCCCTTCACAACAAGCCTAGTCTTGAAGGTCTCAACCTTCTCGTCTGATCATGTCTTTCTCTTACAGGCTCACTTTCATTCGATGGAGCGGACGCCACTGGGTGGCTCTACAAGATCGCAGACCTGATTGGAGTCCATTGACTCCATTTCAGTTCTCAACGCAGAGGGTGCTTCAGAGGTCCTTAACGTGAACTCATAGCACCTTCTATACTGAAGCTGGTCTACGCTTATTTCGCCGACCTCATCCCCCACGGGGAACTTTATCTTCATGAAATAAGTTGAGATGGCGGCTTGGAGCAAATTTAAGCTGGGTCGGCCAAGTATGACGTTGTACGCCGAGTTAACGTCCACCACAAAGAAGCATACCATCTTCACCATCCTCAAAGGCGACCTTTGTTGTAGCATAAATTATTATTTTTACCGAGCACTGAATCAAAAGATTCATTTCCCGAGTCGATCTCACGAGGAAGGCGGTTCAGAATTTAAAAGTGGTATCGATCACACACAAAAGAAAATAAAATCCTAAACATTCTAATCATATAGCGGGTTTTGAGAAATTATCAACTAAGAAATAATAAAAAGCATAATCTACCTAAAAAAGTGAACGAAACAAAGATGGAGAAGCTAGGGAGTCAGAGATAATCAATTCAAGTTCTGTTTGCAAAACCGGGACATTAATCATTCTATTCCAGATTGACACTCTCGCTTAAACATCTAGCGGTTCGCTCCCAATAACTCTTCGTAACAAGGGATTGAACATAGACGAACAAGCTCGAACATACAATACAGGTCAATTCTCCAATCCCAAATAACTTTTCATAACAAAGAACGGGTCATCAACAAGCACGTATTTCAAACCAAAACATATAGATTGTTCAGTTATGAAATCATCTACCTTATGCAAGCTTAGGTCTACGACTTCTCCACTTTCGGTTCTAAAAGTTGCTAATTCAATTAGAATATGTTTAATCAACTAACCATTTAGAATCAACAAATCCCTAACTCGACTAATCAACATTCAATCGTTTCCAATTACAAGATTGAAGTGTCACTCTTCGATTATATCAATCTAGCAAGCAAGTATACATCAATCCCTAATCAAATTAACTCGCACAAGAATGAACAAATCAAGCCCGACAAATACAATTCAAATAAGAACTATCATTCCCTATCCATAGCAATAAGAATTAACTAAGTAATATCAATTCAACACAATTCACCATCCCTCTCAATTTAACCATTATTCATAAATTAAAAATAAAGATAAGAACTTACAATAAATCGCAATTCTAAGTGTTGAATTCAAAATACAAGCTTAATTCCTAAGTACTAAGAAGAGGGAAAAAAATGGAAGAGAAAGATGAAAGGAAAAGAAAAAATGAAGATGAAAAATAGGAGAAGAGAAGAGTTTTTCATTCGTGTTTTCCCAACCTAGGGTTTTCATCCCGGAAGGTGAGAATCCTCCTTTTAATCGAAGCCCGTCGAATATTTATATGATTCGTAGGTCACGGCGCGAGAAAATTTTGGCGCGGCGCGGCACGCTGGGAAGGTGCGTCTCTGTCCAGGCATGACGGGCACCCCGAGGCAGCGCGCGGAGTGGAGAACATCAGTTGTCGTGGTGCGGAATGCTGGCACAGCGCGGAGCAGAGGAGTGCCGCGGTGCGGGCGCGACAGTCTGGGAGCTCGGGCTGGCTGCATCACTTTGCATCTTGTGTTCGTTTGAGCTCGTTTGGAAATAGAATTTGATTCTCTTTTTTTCTGTGTGACGCCAATGAAACGCTCTATCTAATTGTGTTCATCTGATCCCTTTATCATGAAAAATAAATCATCTTGAAGCTTTCGACCTGCACACCAAAAGCGAAAGAAAATCAGAAAAAAAGAAAACAAAACTAAAAATACTGAAATGACTCCAAATAGATGAAAACACGCAATACACTACAAAACGAACTAAAAACCATCTAAAAGACCTAATATGGAAAAAAATAAGTGAAAAAATAAAAAGGAAAAATTGCAACAAAAATGGGACAAACAACCTCCCTAGTGCTACAGTTAAACTTACCTCGCCGATGGAAACAACATTTCTATTGAATCAGCGTGCACTGGCTCATTTTTTACTTCTAACTCTGTTTGTTGTCGGCACTTCCATAAGATGATGTCTATTGAGCTTCATGTGTCTATGAACACCCTTTGCACGTCATGACTGGCCACCTCCGCGGTGATAACAAAAGCATCATTATGTGGAGTATAAACCACCCGCGCATCTTTAGCCCCGAACTTCAAAGTGGCCGAACATACTTGCATGTCCACTTCAGCCACTTCGTCAGCAACTCCTTTTCCTCGATAGGTCCTTTTTCTTTATCGGTGTGAGTCACCATCCGTGAGGCCTCCCGCAATCATTTGAATTACTCTTTTTTTACTAGCCTGTAAGTCTGCTCATCCGTCCTCTTACGCTTGTCACTCGACTCGCGCTCCTCTCGGCGTTTCTTATCCTGAATAACGAACTCCTTTAGATGCCCGACCCTGATGAGACGCTCAATCTCATTCTTCAATTCCAGAAAGAAGTTAGTGGAATGGACATAATCGCAATACTACTAACAATACCTATCATTCACACAGAAAAGCATTTTCGTGGTGGGGAGAGAGTTTTTTGTTGCGCGAGGAGCTTCGCCTCTCCTCGCCTTTCCATCACCTCCAGAATCTCATGTTGTGGGGGTGTTTAGTGGCTTGTAATGTTCGTACCTCGGTCCTCTGAACAAACCATCAACTCTAGACTCCTTTTAATGTGCCCCGTGATCGCTTTGACAAGGCTTTTTATGTACCTGCTTACCCTTGGTCTTATCGCTCTGGAGAAAATCAGCTTATGGTTCCTCTATATCAGCATACTTGTTGCACCGTTGCAGTAGTTCATCAAAGGATCTCGTTGGCCTCTTTGCCAATGAGTCTCGGCATTTTCCAAGCCTCAGCCCCCGCGTTAGCCCCCTCTGCTTTAATTTGCTCCGACGCCGAGGGGACTTCCATGCACTCCTTAGTATATCTTGCCACATACGGGCATAATGTTTTCCTTCCTTTTTGTTGCATATATATCGATCAAACATATCTCTTAGCACTTGCCAATTGGTTAAAATATAATGCGCTAAACCTTTCAAAATCATGAACAGAGCCCGCTGGCAGCTGATGGAACGAATCTTGTGTCACCCCCTTGGGAAAGCAATGCAACAATGTAAGGCAACAGTAAGGGAGTAGGGGTTTAGGTCCTTACGGTTCAGTGGGCACGTATCCATTTGGCTTTTTTTCTTTTTTTTTTTTCTGGTTTTGTGGGTTGCGCCTTATATTGTGTAGTTGTTTGTAGGGGTCTCGACACCTGTTCGTGTCATAGTTTTTGTTTGTGTTTGTTGTTGCTATGTTAGACTACAAATAACAATGACCATCAACACACCTGGTGTGTCCAGGTGGAAAAAAAAAAAGAAAAATGAAAAAAGTAGGGAGACCGGTGGTGTGTTTTGGGGGATAGCCAACCATCTTGGTTGAGTTGGTCTTTAATAATGTAACCAATGGAATGGAGACACTTGTCTCCATCCCATTGGTTCATATTTTTTTTTTTATAATTTTTAAACTAATATATTTTTTATATAATCAAATAAAAAAAATAAATAAATATACCAAAATTTTAATTCTCTACAAATAGAGATCAATTTTGCTATACTTATTTTTTATTTTTAAATTGACATAGATATATAGTTTTTAAATTTGTATGTTTTTTATATAATAAAATATAAATATGTTAAATCACAATACATAAATCCCATCACTTCTCACAAAAGAAATGAATCTGAGTCGTTTGTTAAAAGCACAATCTTCGTCAATTTAATAATTATATAATTATATTAAATCAAAGCAAATAAAAGAATTAATTAATAATTAAAATAAAATGAAATAAAAAATATAATAATTAAATAAAATCAAATTAAGAAAGAAAAGGTTGTGGTTGGATGTTGGTGTGGTTGCTAATAAACTTGCAAAATTGAGATGGTGTGGTTGCTAATAAACTTGCAAAATTGAGATGGTGTGGTTGAGATGATTATTGATGATGTGGAAGAGAGAGAAAGTAATTAAATATTAGGGTGATTGAGTGGTTGAGTGTTTGGAAAGGTTGCTGTTATTCGTAGTCTTAGTTTGTTGGTATTTAGGCCACCTAGTTAGAACGGCTCTCTTGTATATATAGCTTTGTTTTAATTCGTACCACTTGACTCCTCGCTTTTTATATTTGTACATTTA